GTATTTAATTTCTCAGGCTCTGTCGGGATATGAATTTACAATGTAAACACAAATTTAATGACTGTCTCATACAACGAAACATAAACTAATATTTTATCAACAATCCACTTATGTCTATCTTTGCTGAGTTTCCTTAGCATTGGCATTAAACAACATTCAGATTTATATCATAAACATGAATATATATATATATATATATGTATAGATAGATAGATAGATGAGAGAGAGAGAGAGAGAGAGAGAGAGAGAGAGAGAGAGAGAGAGTGAGAGAGAATTCACCCCAAGCAAGGCTACAACGACAATAAGATGCAATCGTTTGCAATTTTTATAATTATCCTTATTTTGAATTTCTGGTGGGGAATTTCAAAAATCATCCCTGGTAAAGGACAAAGGAATAGCCGAAAGCGCTCGGAATTATAAAACATTTGAACGGTTTTTACACAATCTGTGTCCAAAAAAGGAAGCTCTTGTGCGAACACAAGAAAAATTAAACGAAAAAGCTTAATCGCAGTACCTCGTTAGTTGTCCTTAATGAAACATGTATAAAAGACAGATTTCTACCCAAATATATATATATATATATATCCGCGTAGGTGAAATCCAGGTAAGTTAGTCTGGCTCTTTAGGTTTATTTACTTATTTTGCTTTACTTAGTGTATTGAGCACTTTATTTAGTTATTTTTACTTTACTCGTGTCGGAGGTTTTTTTCTTTGGACTCTGAACTTTTATTCTAGACGATTATTTTCGCCGGAAGTACATGTTCTTAGTTCTTTCTCATCCCCCACCTTTTTTCCCCTTGGGTATTAGTTTGTTCATTCACAAGCTAAGACTCCTAAGGTTTTGTCGGACGAGTATAGCTGCTTACATTTATAAGTTTATTAGTGTTATTTTATCTCTAGGTTACTCTCTTGGGCACTTTATAAATTAACTATCATGGAACATATATATATATATATATATATATATATATATATATATATATATATATATATATACAAGTATATAATTGGTGTATACGGAATGAATTCCAATAACCAACAATTACTATTCTTAAAAGAATACTCAATACAAAGTAGAGCAGATATAACAGTCATTTTGTTTCAACACCCCCGGTGTCTTATCAAGTGATGATTTTAAATGTAAAAAAAAAAAAAAAAAAAAATTCAACATCATCACTTGATAAGGCACCGGGAGTGTTGAAACAAAATGGCTATTTTTGTAGTGATTTTATAACATATTTGTGTTATAATTTATTTTAAATAAATAAATATATATATATATATATATGAAGAAAAAATATATGGAAAAAACAAACAAAAATCCTTATATACAATTATGCTGTTTTAATGTTATTATGTCAACGTCGGACGTTTCGGTCTAATAAACCATCTTCAGGACATATTCATAAATTATAACATTATCAATACAACATGACAAAGATAATGTTATAATTTATGAATATGTCCTGAAGATAGTTTATTAGACCGAAACGTCCGACGTTGACATATTAACATTAAAACAGCATAATTGTATATAAGGATTTTTGTTTGTTTTTTCCGTATATATTTTTCTTCATACTGTCGGATTTATATCCATATATATATTTATATATATATATATATATATATATATATATATATATATATATATATATGTGTGTGTGTGTGTGTGTGTGTGTGTGTGTATTTAGGCAGCAATCCTTCTTTCAGGCAGACAAAGGTGCATTTATTTAGTTTTTTATACAATTTCTCATTCGATCCAATAACTTTTTTTTCTTTTCAGATAATAAATTATATAAAAACTGTCCGAATGTTCTTTTTATCCGATCGCTTTCGGCTATACATTTAGCCATTTTCAAAAATGAAATATTTTAACTATTAAATAAGAAATAGTTTGTTGCATGTATGTTTTAAAAAATGTCTTCATTTTTCAAAACACGGTCAAGATATTGTGCCTGTTTCTTATTTAATATTAATTTTAATATTTAAATTATAATATAATTCCTATAAAGGTGCCTTCTTCTGCCATATCTCCCACCACGTCTTTAACCCCCCCCACTCTCTTTTTTTTCTCCCCAACTAGCCAGTATCCCATTACAAACTCATATCGTAAACAGATTGAAAAATCTTGCGAATTTTAAAATTCAAATTCGTAGGTGAAAATGGCTATTAACTAAAGTATCTCAATTCCAGTTGTAAAGAAAAGAAAAGTATATATATATATATATATATATATATATATATATATATATGCTTTTCTAAATAAGGGTTTATAAAATTATAAAATTGACATTCTGTAATATCCGAGTCCTGACAATTGAGAAATGATGAAGTTCCTAGTCGACCTCCTCCGATAAGTATTGTGAACTTTATTATTTCAGTTTCAAAGTAGTTATCAAAGGAGAGGGCGTGATGTATGTCGATGGAAGAGCCTATGGTTTGTCGGCCAATCAGCGCGTGTGAGCATTCAGTTTGCCTGCTTCACGTGAATTGCAGTAAAATTTGGAGTATGTAAGAATTAAATATTACTGGGGGGGGGTCTCCAGAATTTTAGAAATACCAAAGTGGGGCATGGCCCAAATTCAGTTGAGAACCACTGGTTTATTATGTAAGAACTTTTTTTGAGATTTTTACTGATTCAAGTACTAATTAACCCATGGATGGGGAGAGAAGAGGTGGATTCATTCCTTTCTCAAGGCTACTTGCGCGTAAGTGAATATAACGAAACCGATTGGAATTTTTTTTCCAACAGCAAGAACGTAATCTGTTTGGATGTTGATCCCACAAGATCATGACATAGTCGTTTTCGGTTACCTTCTCTGGTTTTTGGCGGTATTATTTTATTATTTATTTCTAAGGATCCTATTATAATTCTATTTGTACCTCCTTTTGTTAGTTCGCACGGCCGTTACATCCTGTCAACACCTCCTAAATAATGGAATATTCCGTGTTTGATTGCAGGGAAAGGGAGTAAAAGACATTACTTGGTTACGATGTGAAAATGAAAGAAAGAAAAAAGAAATGAGAAAAGAGAAGTGGCGAGAGAGAATAAGCTGATAAGAACAGATACTACATTTTGGTCGCAGTCAAAAGACCAATAAATGATGGGGGCGACGATAAAAGCGGCATTTTTCAGGTGCAGATTATTGAACAATGGAAACCGAGTAACGAAAAAAAAAACAGTTACTATAACTACCATAACATTGTCTGCTGAATTATTTTCAAATTATTACGAAGAGAAATGTTCGTAAGACGGGGATTAAGAAAAAGAAAGAAAGAAAGAAAGAAAGAAAGAAAGAAAGAAAGAAAGTGTTGTGGTAGGATCCACCTAATTTGCATAGTGGAGTACCGACCATATAAATATGGTTGGTACCGGGAAGAGAGGGAGGAATCAAGAGATTCAACCAGAGACTCTGCCCGACTGCGACTCAGTCAACACATTCTCCAGGAACGGTCTTCCCAAGAATATACAAAAGACTATATGTAAATATTGTGTACACTTTCTTGTTTCAATACATTTTGTTCTAAGTACATTTTGTGTTGCATTATTATTCCATGCATTAGTCAAGTTTCAACAGAAAGAAAGAAAGAAAGAAGGGAAGGTAGAAGTCTTTAACGTCTCCTGCCAATACATCATAAATAATGGACTATTCCATTTTGATTGTGGAGAAAAACAAGACATAAGAAAGAAAGAAAGAAAGAAAGAAAGAAAGAAAGAAAGAAAGGGAGAGAGGGAGGATAAAAGTGTTTAATAATTACTACACATTGATTTAAGCCAAAATACCGAGAGAGGGAGGATAAAAGTGTTTAATAATTAAACTAACACGTTGCTGAATTATTTTTAAGTTAGAAAATACCGAGATGTAATGGCGTTTAACGTCTGCGGTGAAATAGATAAAAGCGTCCTTTTTCAATATTTTGTTAAAATTATGTCAAATATTTTAACGAATGTTATAGGGAAACTACAGATTTAGGCAAAAAAAAAAAAAACTGAAGTTGGATATCTTGTCAAATGTAAACTTTGATATGGATATTGTGGTGGATTGGTATTTGGTTTTCCGTCTGGTATCAGATGGTAATGTCATTATGACCACAATAAATAACACAAAAACTTGGCTGGTAAATTAAGGGTCAATTTCTTTTTTATTGACGCACGTGTATGTATTAAACTCAGATGTAAGAGGCTGGTCGACCTCAAGTTAACATGACGTTAAGCGAGGGTGACTGAATCTTCTTTCTTTTGGTCCGCTGAAAGACACGTCTGAATCCAATGATTCAAAAGTATCCAGACGTTACATGATCTTTTTTCCGGAAGTGGGGGTCACAAACTTTGCACGTGACCGGAAATCCTTTTTTTTGTCTCCATTTGCATTATGGGTAAATTAAATTATTTATTTTATTTATTATTTCATTTTCTCCCAGAATGTCATGCCAAGAAATATCTAAACTATCAGCTGTAACCATCCGTTTCCGCAGACTAATGATTAAAAATATCTTCATGTGAAGGAATCGTTTAGGTCTTAAAGAAGTCAATCCTTCATGAAACTCTGGCGCTATACAATCACAAAGTACTTTACCAAATAATATAAACCACACTCTTTTTTTTTATATCTCAATTATTTCTTAATGCTAATTTTCTGATGCAGTCTTTAAATTTGTATTCACACCCATAGCCGGTGCAAGGGTCTCGTGTCCCCTCTCGAATCTAATTCCTAGACGTTATCCATTACACCACAACTGGCATTCCCAAGCGGTCACCCATCTAGGTACTGATCATACTCGACCTTGCTTAACTTCGGTTATCGTACGAGAACAAGTGTTTCAACGTGACATGGTCGTAAACAATACTACCTGCACATCCAAGGTACTTCAACTAGCATACCGTAGCGGTTACCCGCATTGCAACTGACCTTGCTCGACGTTGCTTAACTTCGGTGATCGTACAAAAACCGGTGTTTGAACGTGATATGGTCGTAAGCTATACTACCTGCACATCCAAGCTTACAGCAACTGGTATCCCAAGTGGTCACCCATCCAGATACTCGACCATGCTCGACGTTGCTTAACTTCGGTAATCGTACGTGAACCGATGTTGCAACGTGATTTGGTTGTAAGCTATACTAACTGTACATGCTAGCTTGCAGCACCCGGAATTCCTAAACAGTCAACCATCTATATAATGACCAGCGTCGACGTTGCTTAACATCGGTGATCGTACGAGAACAGATGATACAATGTGATATGGTCGTAAGCCATAATAACTGCACATTCTCGCTTCCAGCACCCGGGATTAATAAAGGTCACCCATCTAGGTACTGACCATGCTCGACGTTGCTTAACTTCGGTGGTCGTACGAGAACCAATGTTGCAAAGTGATAAGGTCGTAAGCCATACTAACTGCACTTCCTAGCTTACAGCAGCTAGGCTTCCTAAGCGGTCACTCATTTAGGCACTGACTACGGTCGACATTGCTTAACTTCGATGATCGTACGAGAACCAATGTTGCAAAGTGATAATGTCGTAATCCATACTAACTGCACTTCCTAGGTTACAGCAGCTGGGGTTCCTAAGCGGTCACTCATTTAGGTACTGACCTCAGTCGACGTTGCTTAACTTCGATGATCGTACGAGAACCAATGTTGCAAAGTGATAAGGTCGTAAGCCATAATAACTGCAGTTCCTAGCTTACAGCAGCTGGGGTTCCTAAGCGGTCACTCATTTAGGTACTGACAACGGTCGACGTTGCTTAACTTCGATGATCGTATGAGAACCAATGTTGCAAAGTGATAAGGTCGTAATCCATAACAACTGCAGTTCCTAGCTTACATCAGCTGGGCTTTCTAAGCGGTCACTCATTTAGGTACTGACTACGGTCGACGTTGCTTAACATTGATGATCGTACGAGACCCAGTGTTTCAACGTGATATGACCATGGGCCTCTCGCTTGATGGATGTTGTTTCATTCCGATCTTGAGTGAAACATTGTATTGACGAATACGCAGACAGGCGGACACGCCCTCGGTAATAATATTAACAACCAACAATCGATTTGATTCACGACTTTCGTAAAAATGTAATCTCTCGGGTGTGTCGCCAAAACATTGACCCCCCGACCGTAAAAAAAGGACACGCCCATGTTTATTCAATGCCTCGTGACCTGTCGTGTTGTTCTGTTGATTCATCATTTTAATCAACTGAAACCTGACAACAGAGACTCGATTCATCAACTCACTTCATCGGACACGTTGCTGAGGCGGAACCGAGAAAAAGAACCGCATTTATTCGTGTACAAGTCGAAGGTCTTAGATCAAATTTGAATCTGACATTAATTCCTGATGTCAATTCCCACCCACCCAAAATAGTCGTTTTTTTATTCGTGTATGAGTCGATGTTGGGAAACCATATTCGAAAAAGAATAATAATCGATATTGCCTCATCTAATAAAAATTACAATTACCACATATTCCGACGTATAAGTCGACCTTTAGATAAGACGAGATAAAAATATTGCAAATTTTTACGTATTTATCCTATACCTTTTTATAAGACGATAGCTTATAAATTACACAAAGATGATGTTAATTGTTACTGTATCCTTCTTCCTTTCTATGTTCCGTGTCCCTTCAGGACGTTGGCGATCATGGCCCTCCACATCCCTCTATCCCTTGTAGTTCTCAGTAAGTTTTGTTCCTTTGCTACTTCCCCCAGGCCATGTTCTGTCATCCACTTGCTTAAGCCCGCTAGGTATGTCATGCTTTATTTTCCCTTGTCTCTCTTTCCCTCTATTCGACCTATGGGTATCAGATTCTCCAAGCCCTTCTTTCTCATTACGTATCCAATTATTATTATTATTATTGTTGAATAGAATAATCACAATATGGTTGATAATGAACGATAATACTTAGAACAAAAACAACGCATATAAGATTCGCCAACGGCGCGTAGAAGAAGTAGTCAACTGCTAGAAGTGAATCCCACAATGAATCTCCAATTGCAGGATATCTACCAACCGCCCCACGCGGGCAGATGTGACACAAGGCCGAATTTAATGTCGGGTATCCGAGCCTGTAGGCTCCGCCAAAATATTCGCCGTAGTCTCCGTATAAAACGGCGTCGGGTAGCTGTTTCCCGAGATGAGACTATGCCCTTCGACATAGCCTCATCTGAAGATCCTCTCTGCCTGGAGGCAGAGAGTTTGACCAGCACAGTTGGAGACGAATCTCCAACTGCAGACCAACATACAGTATTTACTACTGTAGTTATGACATTTTCCACGGCATTTTTTAAGAAAAAAAAGACAACCTAACATTATACACATTCTACATAGATAAAGCCCTTCGTAAGGTGTCAGTTGTATTTTTTTTATTTCTTTAAGGCTTGTGCTACAAGAACATTCTAGTCATAGATAAAGGCCCTTCGTAAGGTGATTTCAATGTTGTATTTTTTTTTTTTCTTTTCAGATACATTGCAGTCTGCAGGGACTGCCATGTCAATAAGAAGCCATATTTTTTTTGGTCTTTTCACTATTATTATTATTATTATTAACAGAATGACAGGAGAGTTCTATCTGATTAATTCCTCTTGGATTAATCAAAACATTTCCCAATCTCTCCTGATGAGGGCTCCAACGATCGAAACTGAAATTGTTGATGTTCTCATAGAGAGTCCATATTTTTGATGGAAAGATTTCGATTTCAATGTCCTTATATTTTGATATCTATCTATTTTTCTAAGTTCTTCATCAGATACATTGCAGTCTGCAGGGACTACCATGTCAATATTTGTGGTCTGTAGAAGCCATATTCAGTAGTTTTGGTCTTTGATCACGATGTAGAATTGTTGATGTTTGCCGATTAGTTTTGATTGTTCTGGCTACGTGTATTGTAAAATCCCATAAAATTGTTACGGGCCGTATCTCTGTAGCCGAGTCTGGGTGGTGGTCATACCAATTTCTTGCAGTTCCCTTTCCGTAAAACATATTTTTCAATGCAGATATTAGCCCACTCTGTCAGGCCAGATTTTTTATCCACTGGGTACCAATACTGCGCAGCCTGATACAAGATGGTCAATTTTTTTCTGGATATTAATCACAGAGTCTACATTTTGAGCTAACTCAATTCTTCATTATGTGTACTTCGTAATTTCTTGTTAGCGAGAATTGGTCCTGTGCAGCAAGAATAAAACCTTCGGGTTCAGCTTTTAACCGTGCACAACGTAACCATTGATGTTTACAGGGTTTGTCTACATCAGCTTGTTTAGTACGGGCAATTGACCATGAAGAGGCTTATCTTGCCATCGTTTCTACATTTGGTACATTACATTTGATTCTGGTTTCTTTTTTTGGGGGGGGTTCTTTGCCGTTTCAGTAGGTGTATTACGGTTTACTTACACTTATTCCCCCATTTGAAATTCCTTTTTGAATTTCTTGGTTTCCTTTATTGCTGAATAAAGTTTCTTATTTCTTTCATCTACTTTGACACAGATCATCAGTCTCCTGTAGTTTCCAAATATATTTGAAGACCGAATGTTGTGGTTTTGTAAGACAGTTCTAGTTGAACTAATCCTCTGCCTCCTTCGGATCTGGGCACATACAGTCTTAGGATGATGAATGCGGTGGCAAGTGAGAAGCTTTCTTGTTTTGATATCCATTCGCTTAATGTTATCTTTGATCAAGTTAAGGATTATTATTATTGTTGTTGTTGTTGTTGTTCTATGCAGCAAGAATAAAACCTTTGATTTCAGCTTTTAACCCTGAACTGATGGATACTGGGCTTGTCTACATCAGCTTGTTTGGTACGACCAGGGTATTGACCGTGAAGCGGTTTATCTTGCCATCGTCTCTGTATCTGGTTGGTTGCATTTGCTTTTGCTTTCTTTCTTAAGTATTTTGCAGCTTCAGTCAGTGCATTGCGCTTTTCTTGTCTTTCTTCACCCATTTCAAACTTCATTTTTGAATATGTTTGGTTCCTTTATTGCTGAATAAATTCGCTTACTATTTTCATGCTTTTCGACACATATTATTATCCAGTCTTCTGTAGTTTCCAGCTATCTTTGAAGGTATTTTTATAGTTTTGTAAAACAGTTCTAGTTGAACTAATCCTCTGCCTCCTACGGATCTGGAGACATACAGATGATCAGCAACAGTTTTGTGATGATGCATGCTGTGGCAGGTGAGAAGCTTTCTCGTTTTGGCGTCCATTCGTTTAATGTCAGCTATGGTCCAGTTAAGAATGTTGAAACTGTATTGCACCAAAGGGACAACCAAAGTATTTATAGCTGATATTGTCTTGTGAATTCAAGTCGGTATTTAGCACCAGACGCATACGCCTGTGGTATTCTTTTCTGACTTTCTCCTTCATTTAGGCAGGCTGTATTCCATCGCCTTCGCTAGTTCTTAGATAACTATAGCCTTCTTGTTCCAGTTGCTTAATCTTGGTGACAAAATCTCGATCTGTTGAGTGTGTTTCTGTAATTCTTTCTTTAATGTTACTTTTGCACATTTATCTAATCTGAAATCCATACCTATGTCGTCACTGAAATATTTTACAGTATTGAGGAGATCCTTCAATTCATTGTCATCTTTGCCAAAGAGTTTGAGATCATCCATGTAGAGTAGGTGATTGGATACTTTCTTGTTTACTTTGTAACCATAGCTATTATTATTTAGTTCATGTACAAGGCGGATTAAGGCCAGACAAAACAGAAGGCGTGACAGGGAGCCTCTTTGAAAGATTTCACTGTGTTTGGAAATGGCAGTGCCTTTGGTATGATTTAGATATAATATGGTTTTCCACATTCCCAGGCTGTTTAAGGAAATTTACTATTACCGAGGAGATTTTGTACATTTCCAAAGCCTTAACGATCCAAGAGTTGGTCACGGGATCAAAGGCTTTACGGTAATCTATCCATGCTGTACTGAGATTTCTATCCCTTTTCCTGCAATTTTCCAGGATCATTTTGCTTATCAATAGTTGATCTTTGCAACGATATGAACCTCTCCGACATCCCTTCTGTTCCAAGGGAAGAATGTTGTTTTCATCAAGAAAAGAGCAATTATTTTTCGTCAGGACAGACGTGATCAGTTTATATGTAATGAGCAGACAAGTTATTGGTCTATAATTTTTCGGATTATCTGTGTCATATAGGACATAAATGAATGGAATCGTCCGATTATGTGAATAAGCGGAGTCGGAAAGAGTTAGAATTAGGTCTTAGCCGCACGCTAAGCTCTTAGTGCTTGTCGAACCCAGACGAGGCTATCCCGAAGGGTAGAGCCCCGTTTGGAGAGGTAGACAAACCCGACCCTGTTATTACGGGGTCTATGAGGAATTTTTGCCCGAGTCTACAGGATCGGAACATCCCACGTTAAAAAATCAGCCTTGTGCCA